TATATCAGCAATACACTTATCAAATGTTCAATGAACCATCATATTCATCATATCAAGTAATCACCAAACAATTAAATACATATGCGCCCCACGTTTTTCGTTTTAGATGTTGTAAAATATTTTAACTGAAATACAAAAGACCAAGAGAATGAAAGCAAACAGAGATCAGTAGCTGCCAAAAAATTATTTTCTACTTTTGAGTCCACATGAAAAACGTGGTCTTTAAAAATTTTTTATGCATTTTATTTAATACTATTTCGAATGATTTATACTCACAATTTCCTCATATGAAATTATTTCCCAAACAAAACACACCATACGTCTTATCACTTTGATGGTTCAACCAGTGAATGAAACCAAAAATTCAAAGTTTTAAACTAGGCTACACAGAGTCTGTAAAATGAGTTTTTGATTGTGTTGGTAACCTTCTCTCAATAAAGCTGTAAGGTTCAACAACAAATTTATTTTGTTTCAATAGCAAATTGGTATCAATAATGATGTATAATTGATTGTCAAATATTTACACAGCAGTATCATCTCAAAAATCCAGCTTAGCTTTTGGAAATTTGACATTAACATCAAAATTACGCTAAAATTTATGTTCTTTTGCTATGTTCAATGTCTTTGCTCCACTGCTATCAATTGTTTGTTTGGAAAATCCTTTGAAGGGGATTCATTTGGCAGCATTTCACATCAAGAAAACAGATAGCAAATAAAAAAAAAGTTTTTCTAAAATGCCTTGTCTGTGAGGTCAAATATCCCAAGACACATTTTTCTTATAAATTTGGAAATGAGAAAAACTTACCAGCATAGAGATGGAGATCAGAGTAGCCATCCCTGTGCTTAAATTCAACTAGTAATTTTAAAGTTCATATTATTTAAAACTAAAAATTAAAATTAGCCAACACTCAAAAATAAAAAAAAACAGACTGACAAAAGATAATGCCATCCAACAGGGTAATAAAGGATGGGTGGAGCCCTGCGTACAAATGTTATAGCAGCAAAACTAATGGACATATTGCAGAACTAAAATAGTGGCTTAAACTTCAACATTTCTCCTCTCCTATCCATGTAGCATAAAGAAAGTTAAGAAATCATACATTTACTAGCTCTAAAAAAACCCATGCAAAAACATATTGAAGGGTGACATTTTGAAACAGTACTTCTGCTAAGGTCCATAGTAAAAAATATTTGCTGTCTTAGAAAATGTAGCTTGGAAAAAAGTTGCAGACAGGTGTTGGCTTTAAAACTTGATTGACAGATTTTTTGTACCTCAATCCAAAACAAAATGGCGGCCATTTCCTCACAATGGGAGTAATAAAGGACACTTTTAAAATTACATTTACAGTATAACTCTGGTTAGCAAAGGCTCCAGTTAAGAAAACTATCAACAACAAAAAATTTTGATTATATTTACCTGGCTCAGCATTAACAAAAAATTAATGCATCATTGGTTGTCACAAAATCGTGCATAAAATGTTATATAGAATTGAGCACCGGGAAACATAGAATGAAAAGTAATTAACCTAAAATATTGGTTAATTATTCCAAAAAATATGATGGATGTCACTAAAATATTTGTTTCTGTTTCAGGTATGTTTTTTACAATCTTTTTTGTTATAGTGCATTTACTTGACCGAGTTAATTTAATATGGTAAAAAATTACAAATCCAGTCCTGTGAGCTCACAGATACAGAAGAAATGCTATACAGCTGCTGATATAAAGCTTGCAGTGGATAACGTTGCATTAAATGCTCAATGGCATGTCCAAGAATATGGTGATATCACATCAATAATATGGTAATGCATGGATATGGTAATATATCAATAAAGGGAAAACAAGTACAAATCACAGTAAATGTCATTTTTTGTACATCTAAATCATCTACAAAGGAAGGAGAGGACTCCAGAATACTGCTGGTAATGAACTCTACATGCTTCAAATGTTTTAAAATTGAGTTTTATTTCAAGTGCTTAGCAAGTTTTTTATGCCAGGGCTAATTTGGGATGCTTTCTTTTGCATTTGGCACCTTACATTTAGCATATGGAAATTTTGGGAGATACTATAAAATAGCCCTTGCAAAGACCTTTAAAACGAGCCCAAACTCATTTATGAAATGTTTCATGGTAGAAAGTTATTACCAGCAGACGCTCAAAATTGTCCCCTATCACCCTGATGGCATGATTGCATATGAATAAGATAGTTTGAGAATTGAATACATAAAAATTTGTTATTTTTTCATATCTTTAATAAGTTATAATGTATCTTCTAATTAATTATAAAACATCTCTTTGAATACCATCTAACAGGACAATAAGGGACGGGCGGGGTAATAAAGGACAATCCTCTGACATTTCATAGAAATATTGTAGCAGCTAAACTAATTGAAATAGTGCAAAAATAAAAATAGTGGCCTAAATATTAACATTATTCCTTTCTATGTAGCACAAAGCAAGTTAAGAAATCATACATTTATTACCTCTAAAAAATCCCTGAAAATAGTGCAGAATGTGAAATTTTGGAAATGTAGTTCTGCTATGGTCAGTAACAAAAAAATGTTAGCGGTATTGAAAATTATACATACATAAAAGTTGCACACCGGTGTTGGCTTGAACATGTGATTGACGGAATTTGTGTAGCTCATTTAAAGGACAAATGACAGCCATTTCTGCACAATGGGGCAATATGGGACACCCCCGGGGTAACAAGGAACACCTCTAAAAATACACTCACAGTAGAACCTTGGTTAGTAAGGGCTCCAGTAAACAAAAAAATTAGTTAACAAAGAATTTTGATCACATTTGCCTTGCTCAGCAAAAAAATTTCATGTAGCAAAAACCAATGCATCATTGGTGATCAAAAAATTGTACATAGAATGTCATAGAGAGAATTGTGCACCAGGCAACATAGAATGAAAAGTAATTAATCTAACTTATGATTTATTTATCCAAAACATATGATGGTTGTCACTAAAATATTCTTTTCTGTTTCAGGTATGTTTTTGTGATCTTTTGTTATAATGAATTCACTTGACCCAATTAAAATGGTGCAAATTTACAAGCCATCCTTCAAGCTTAGAGATACAGAAGAAATGCTATATGGCTGCTGATATGAAGCTTGCAGTGGACAAGGTTGTTATCAATGTTCAATGGCATGTCCATAGATACAGTAATACCATATCGCATCAATAATATGGTAATGTATGTCATGGATATGGTAATATTATATCAATAAAGGAGAAACAAATAAAAATCACAGAAAATGTCATCTTTTCCACATCTACATCATCTACAAAAGAAGAGGAGGATTTTTGAGTACTGTTAGTAATGGACGAGTACACTCAGCATGCTTCAAACATTGTAAAATCAAGTTTTATTTCAAGTATCCCTTATTACCCCGTTCCCAGGTTTAATTTAAGATGCTTTTATTTTGCATCTGGCACATTACAAATAGCATATGGAATTTTTTGTAGATGCCATGTGATAGCCCTTGCAAAGACCTTCAAAATGAGCCCAAACTTGTTTATGAAACGACTCATGGTAAGAAGTAATTTATGAAAAATGCTCAAAGCCATCCCATATTACCCAGTTTGACAGAAGTTTACGGTGTTAAGGTTTTGCAAAAATTGCTTAACCCAAAAGTTTTCCTAAAGAATATTTTGATTTATAATTGGGAATTATTTTCAAATGAAATGACATGACTCATTCATCGTAACATGAATGATACTTATTTTTGTCTTATTTTGATAAATACTTGAATTTTTAAAATTTATCAAAGCAAAATTTATTCTCTAATCAGAAAGAAATCTCATGTCACATAAGTGGCAATTAGAATTTTTGAAGTACCTCCACTGTCATTGAAGGAGACCACATTGTTGTCTCTCTACAGTGTGCTGCAGGTAATGAGGCCTCTTCTGCAGCTATGTGGTCCTTCATTTCAAAAATTACACCTCGGTTACCAAGCAACAGAGAACAGAGATGCTGATCTATATGGTAGAATCAGTTAATTGAGATCAGACCTAAAACTACATATATGTGCCAATGTATGGCTAAGATGGCAAGCTTGAAAGCTTGGAAGATGCCAATATTTTAACCTAAAAGGCCTTACTGAACAATCTGGGCAGATTCTTAGTGAAATTTGAGATTAGTGAAATCTCAAAAACATATGATAAATTGGAATATCTGAAACTAAACTTTCCTTTGATCAGTCAGCTGATATTAATGGATCAAGCTAGTGACACAAGTCACACAACTGATTTATATTGAATACCAGTATATGAACCAAAATTCCTATTTCAAAATTTTCTACCTAATCAATGATCTTACAAGCTACAATCAATATTCAAATTTCCTTCTGAAACTCTTTTGGCCCTTTAAATTGTATAAAAGCATATTAGGTAGGGTATATTCCTTATAATTTTCAATCAGTAGTAAATGTAGATATTTTCCACTAAGAAGGCTACTTTAATTCAAAAAATATCCATTCCATAAAATTTGATTTAAAAAACATTTTTCTAAATAAACAAGATAGTAACACTGAAAAATTGTAAAACAATTTTTACTTACCTCCACATTCTCAGCATTTCTTGACTTCACAGCTTTGGTTATGATAGTGCAGTCCCGCACATCAAAATTTTTAAAGTCCATTGACATTCTGCTGACCAGTTATTATAATTATTATTTGTGCTAGGTTGGAAATGAAGTCACAAGTTGGTCACTTGTTAAACCCTCTCCTATCAGTGATTAATTCTTTCACCTTCATTCTTCTGTTGACATATTCACAAAGAAGATGCAAGGAAGTTAGACAATCAGTTCAAGTAGGATAAGCTATCATCACCTCTATTATGCAGTTCTGAACTCTCCTAGGCCCTTGTGTAATGCCACTGCCAGAAGGCACACAAAGCACTGCCAGCACAGATGTGCAAGCAATACAAAAGGCATGCATACTTGATACCTGCTGACCAAAATCATGTTAAACACAAACAAAGAGGATGTGTTCTATTAAATCTTCAACCCATAAATGCAGGCATATGTGACGGGAGTATAAGCAAAGGTCAAAAAGATAAGATAAGAACAAGCCCCAACATAAGCCAAACAAAGACAAATCAAAGCCACTACACTATGACTGGCAACCCTGCAGCAAGATGGTGGAGAGAAGAGAAGCAAGATGATGGCTTTTGTCATTACCTGTCAATGTAGAAACCCACTCCTTATACTTAGAGGCGCATAATAGGATAATCAGAGAAAGAGTAATACTGTACTAAATAAAAATTCACTATGCTGCAGCTCACTGAGCTTAGCAGGTATTGTCCCAGCTAATGAATTACAGCCGTGTGTATTTTCTGAGGGATATCTCCCCCACCACAAGCTGATGCAAGGTTCCAAGGAAGTGAAAGATTTTCCAAGCTTGAGCAAAATTCCCTCCTCTGGTTTGTGCAGAGTGAACAATGCAAGAAGAAATGACTAACAGTGTCCTCCATATCGCATGTAGCGCACATATTGGAATTAGACAAATTGAAACAAGCCAAGTGGGCCTTCATACCAGCATGACCAAGTCACAGAAATGCCACAGCACATTCTGCGGAGAGTGGTACAGATCCATAAACCACATTCCACTGCTGCTCCCAGGCTCCCAGGCCCAGCCAGAAGGCTCCCTTTCCTGAGGCCTGCCCTTCTAGATCTTGCAACCATCAGGATGGCCAATGTTTCAAAAATTTGGATTTCAAAAATCGTAGCCACTCCTCAAAGCACAGAGTGGATCTTGCAGCGTGATCATTTGAGTGGGCAAGGTTTGCAATTCTGTCAGCCATTTTCTTACCAGTAATATGGCTGTGACCACAAATATAGAAAGCACATCACCACTCTATTGAGCCCCTTGATTTGCATTAATTTCTGTATTTGAAAGACAATCCAACTATAAGGGCCACCATAAATGGAAGAGATCAACTGAAGTGCTGCTTGTGAAGTAAAAATGTGAACTGCAAATCAGACAAGATCAGAACTGTCTTACTCTGTAGAGACAAATCTGTGCTGTCAAGCTGCAAGGCTGATGGCCTTGTTTATTGCAAAAATTTCAACACCCAGACCCAGTACAGTCCAGGGTGCAGAGGGTGCAAGCAGCGTCGCCAATATATGGATTTTTAGCCCAATGCATTGCCAGTCATTTTCAAGATCCATCGCCAGGTAATTTTTAATAAGAAAATGCTGCTAACAACTTTGATAGTACGGCATTTCCCTTACTCTTCACGCACTGCATCATTGCAACTGATTTCCAGACAAGCTTCACTGCATTCTGATCCATCCAACGTACCAGAAACCTTACTGTGTGCGCTTGCGGTCTTTCATATTTGCAATAATTCAAAGTGATTTAAAAAAAATGCAGTAATTTCAATCCAAATTTGTCAGCAAGATCTTCTGATTTCTGAAGGCATAAATTCTGCTGCTGATGCGTCGCCAATAATCTTTTGATATTCACCCCTTTTCTGCACCCTGGAGTACAGTGTGCATTGGATTTATTTAGCAGCCAAGGAGCCATTCAGTGGCAAGTTGGGTTGATGGCACTGTATTGGCACATATAGGTCAGCAGAGACAGATCCAGTGGCAGCCCATGATCCATCAGTGTAGATCTGTGGATGTTGAGGATAATACTGACTTTCAGAAGTCTGGAAAGCAATTGTGTAATTTGGGGTGGCAATGGCATTGAATTGACTGCAGAGCTAAGCAAATCTAAGCAGATACTGTAGGAAAGATCTACATGAGGTAGAACCATCAACTATAGAATAGCAGACATCAACAAAGTTGAAACTGGAAGAAACTTGCTGCACAGACGGACAGACCTTCAGATGGTATTGTCAGTAGGTTCAACTCCTGAAAGCTCTGACATGCTTTGACAATAATAGGTGTTTGTAGAAGGTTCTGTTGATCCAAGGATCCCAAAATAGATGCCACCTGGTGACCTGGATGGGAGCGCAGCCGTGCACCACCAATTTTGTGCACCAATAAGCCCTGAATCGAATGCCTTGGATCTCTCCGGACCAACACCAATCAGCCGTGCACCACTCGGCTTTGTCCTCTTCCGGCCTTGACCACCACCTGCCGTGCACCACCAGGCCGTGGATCGAATGTGACTTCCAGGCATCGTCAAATCACGCAATTTTACGTTCACCGCATCTGAGGTTAGATTACAGATAGCATAGTTCTGTTCCAAAATTTATCGTCCTTCGACAAGTGGCCGTTTGACCAAGGGCTTCTTCTTCTTTAATCAAAGTTTCTGGGAGCCTCTGAAGACTAGTTCAATGCGGCCCCATGACAGGACAGTTTACAAATTTAAGGAACTTTAATTTCAGCTAGTAATTTAGGTGTTCTGAAGAGTCGTCCAATGTTTCTTGAAGGCTGAATGACTACAGAATGGGGCCGCCAAAATGGAGACCACGCCGGGGTGGAGAGTCCCATGCCAGGGCAAAGAGTCCCACTCCAGGCCCCAGGGCAGAGAGTCCAACTCCAGGGCAGAGAGTCCCACTCCAGGGCAGAGAGTCCCACAGCAGGGCAGAGAGTCCCACTCCAGGGCAGAGAGTCCCACTCCAGGGCAGAGAGCCCCACACCAGGGCAGAGAGTCCCACTCCAGGAGGAGGTTCCTGGGGGCACTAACCACTCAACTGGGGGCGCTAACCACTCACCTGGGGGCACTAACCACTCACCTGATTGCACTAACCACTCACCTGGGGCCGGGGCATTAACCACTCACCTGGGGGCACTAACCACTCACCTGGGGGCACCAACCACTCACCTGGGGCACTAACCACGAACAACTCCGGAACAAGGGGGTACTAACCACACATGGAGGCATCTTAAAATCTTTGTAACAAAATTTGGCAGTAGATGTCGGGAGCATTTATAGGTGTTCAGGAGTTAAATTTCACTTTAGCTGGTTGTACCATGGCATCCGCCGGCTCAACACCTCAGAGCGGGACAGCACGGCATTTTCAAAGTTCGAGAAAGATAGTTCTAGAAAGATGACGTAGCAGCCGGCCAAAGCCGGCTACTGTCACAGGAGCTCAGCACAAGGAACCTCTTGCCTCAACGGTTGGAACAGAACTCCGACCGAGGGCTGGTTCGAGTTCAACCCATGGCCTAGATATGGACGGCTTGAAGTGTTGAAGGCTACGTTCCGGAAGGCAGGAATCATGATGGTTATTACATCCAGGGCAGTGGTGGTCTTCGGCTCGGCAGGCGACCCCACCTGGACCTGGACAGCCTGGTCCCCTCTCCCCTGGCAGGGTTGGCATTGATTGAATCAAACTGATTGAATCATGCGATTAAATCATTTGATTTTGTTTTGTAATAAAATCATAATTTTTTTATTTATTTTTTATATCTTAAAATATATTGAGTGGCAGTCTTTAATTCATTTTGAGGTATTGTTATTCATTGTTTTAATATAAATGTACATGCGGATTGCGGGACGCCGGGACCCATTTCCTAATTAATCCATAACTCAATTTAAAATGTATAATGCTAGAATAAACTACACAGAACATTTACCTACTACAAGGTTACATCACTAATACTAATTTTTACACTCACTCAGGTCAGTAGAACAATTTAATGAATAAGCACAACGAAAGAGAACACGAGCGCGTCTTGCGGGAGTCGAAAGAAGAGTGCACGGGAATGTTGCCGCCGCATGCCGCGGCGCTTGAGTTGAATTGGGAGCGCAGCCGGGCACCACCAATTTTGTGCACCAATAAGCCCTGAATCGAAAGCCTTGGATCTCTCCGGATATCCAATTTTGTTCTAGAATTACTCGGTACTTACAAGGTGAAATAACTGCTATTACCAAAGCTTAAAACTATTACAAAAATATCAGATCTTATAGGTATCAAAACTGGCCATGATTAACTGGCTTACAATGATGATTATTTTTATTTAGTTTGTTTTGTTACGGCTATCGGCCAGAGTTCACTAGCATCGTACATATTTACGGCATTAACTATGCGACAAAATACAGCTTTATACCTAATAATCTCAAAGGAGTTATAATACCTCTCAGCTAGGAGATTATGCACTAGGATATTATATGCAGCCACTCCAGTACGATCACCTACGCCGATAACCAATTGTTTTCATCTTGTAGATTATCAGACAGCAGTTTTGCCCTGCATACCGTCAATCAAAGATTCAGCATATATTTCGGCATTGCATAAACATAAATATGACCACCAAATATCCCCTAACCGTGACTCCGGCCTCAACTTTCGCTTCTAGACAACTTTTCAGTCAGAGACGATTCGCTTCCCCCTATTTAAAAATATCCCTCACCATTGGAACAAACAGTCAATCAACGAACAGTTATACACCGACTGAAATTTTTAGACGTCCCGTTACTAGAAGTAACGGAAGGAAAATGAAGGAGGCACTAACTCACGTCTGAACGATAATTTCAGGCTTTCTGAAACTGTGAGCCTCGCGCGTCAATAAAATTGTGGCCGCGCCTCGCACGTCAATAATTTTTGTACCGCGATTTTCCTTGTCATTTTTTGCGATCATTCAACAATTATTTCTTATATTTGTTATGTTGAATTTGTACTAAATTTTTTCCATTAAGGTTTTTGTCATTCGATTTTACTAGCATTTTCATTAGAGAAGAAAAAGTCTGTTCACCCTGTCATCAGAAACGCGTCACTTGCATTCTGTCAGTCGTGAAGCACTTTACACTTGACTGATGTTGAATCTTTTGTGAATAGTCATACTGTAACGCTTAAATTTGTGCAGTGATATTTTTGAATTGTAATTATTTTGTTTGGAATAATTAAAGTTAAGTATTATCGCCGCATCTTGTTAAGTTTATTTATTACTTTTGTTTGCTGAATTATATTAGTTTACTACTACGAACGATAGATTCAGTACGAGCCATCCGTTGGGTTTATCTTGCATTTGTTTTGAGTTAACTTTGAATTATTTTTGTTCCTGTTTCTACATTCATCAATAATCCATCAGTGCCCTTGTTACCAATGGTATTATTGCAGATTAACTACATCCAAAAAAAAAGGGTGTTTTTTTTTAATTATATGTTTTTTGGGGTGTAGATTACGAATCTGAAATCCATTTTTGGCGGTCGGCATCGGAAAACCGATTTTTTATGGGTCGGAAAAAATTCGGTTTTCCGATGCCGACCGCCAAAAATGGATTTCAGATTCGTAATCTACACCCCAAAAAACATATAATTCAAAAAAAAAAACACCCTTTTTTTTGGATGTAGTTAATCTGCAATAATACCTTACCAATAAAGTGTCAAGAATACAAAGTTCACTTCCCTGCACGGTTAAAGTTCGGTTATCTGACTGGCGCTGCGTTCTGTAGTCACCGTATCGCTTACACCATACACCTGCGTGTCCGACTTGCGAGTTCGGCAAGCCGATCCTGGCTCCCGAAACTGATTCTGTGATATTTCACCTACACCTTTGTTCTTTGTTCTCATAAAACTGTCAGGATCAACTTGCAATTGCACTTTATTTGCCGCATCCTTCACTGTATTATAAACTTTTGTGTCGTCGGTATACATGGAGCACACGCTGGTCACTACTTCTGGCAGATCATTTATAAAAGCAACGAACAAAATAGGCCCAAGAACGCTTCCTTGTGGCACGTCACTGTGCAATGATGCCCAGTCTGACACGTTTCCGTTAAATGCTGACACGTTGTCGTCTACCTACTAGAAAGTCTATGATCCACTGGAGTAAGTTTCCCTCAATTCCCAAAGACTTCACTTTCCGTAACAGCCGCTCATGCGGAACACTGTCAAATGCTTTGGCAAAATCGAGGTACAATGCATCCATGCACTGGCTCCCTTTCGTCCAGAAGGCGAGTCCAATCGTTCAACGTAGACAATAAGTTAGTGGTGCAGGATCTACCGGTAATAAAACCATATTGACAATCTGATAGGATATGATGAACAGTCAAGTGGTCGCTAATCCTATCCCTCACAACAGATTCCATTACCTTACAAATAACACTTGTCAGACTGACAGGGCGATAGTTACCGGGGCTACTTTAGGCACCTTTTTTGAACAAAGGTGTTACTTGAACTTCTTTCTAAACGGACGGCAAAGTTCCTTCGTTCAAGCTTTTTTGAAGGAAAACTGTCAATGGGCCGGCCAGAATGGCTGCTAATTCTTTGAGCAGTCTGGGATGGAAGCCGTCTGGTCCACATGACTTGTTGGGATTTAGAGCTACCAGGCGCTTGAGAACATCTTCATGTATTTCAAAACCTATATACAGAGGTGGGCAGTAGCGCGCTACATGTAGCGGTAGTGGTAGCGGCGCTACATTTAAGCAATCGTAGCGGTAGCGCCCGCTACATATTTAAGTAGCGATACGAGGTACGTTTTGCCGCTACAGCGCTATCGCTACATTTATAGATAAAGCCTTTAAATTTTACTTAATAGTATTAAATATTATTTAAAAACCAGCATGATACATACATAATATAAATTATAGAATAAAACTATACGAAAGATTTCGGTGTAATGTTGTCAACATCGGCCTGTTACTAGTGTCATCATGTTAGTTGTTACTTGTTAAGTTGTTACCAGTTACCACTTACAGGTATTTTTTCATGTTTCAGTTTGCTTACAGTTATTTTTACACAGTTATTTTTATGTTTCACCTTCCCTACATGGATGTCTACTTTAATCTACCAATCTCAAAAATAATCCACATATATATACAAATAAAAGACTGATTTTTTATATGTATATGTGGATAATTTTTGAGATTGGTAGATTAAAGTGGGCATCCATGTAGGGAAGGTAAAGCATAAAAATAACTAACTTTTATTTACTGTATCTAACCCGTACTAGTTCGGTTAGGTTAATTGCAATAAAGTTGCATTGATATGTTTTGAAAATTTTTATTATCATTAAATGTTTATGAGTAAATCCCAATAGCAGAACAATAAATATTTAGAGAATTCCAATAATTTTGGCAATTGTAGCGGCTAATGTAGCGGCGCTACATTTTACTGGAGCGGTAGCGCTCGCTACAATCTAGTGGCTGTGGCGGTAGCGGTAGCGGCGCTACATTTCAAAGTAGCGCTGCCCAGCTCAGCCTATTTACTCTGAGCCGACTTGGCACTCCTCAATATCTGGAATACTGTTCAAGTCCTCATCTGTGAACACGCTGCTGAAGAACTGATTAAGAACGTTAGCCTTGCCCTCATCAGAGGATATCTTCCGTTGGTCTACTTTCAAATCAGATACACCGTCGTTCGTTTTACATTTCAAACTAGCGTACAAAAAGCAGGCTTTCGGATTCTATTTTGCATTTTTAGCAATATTTTTTTAAGTTTCTCACTGCAGTGCGACATACTTATTTAGCTTGATTTCGAGCTCCTGCATGAAGGTTATAATCAGAATCGCTGAGAGTTCATAAATAACGCTGGTAGGCTTCTTTCTTGGTCTTTAGATGAGTCTTAACTGTACTGTTCATCCACAGGGACTTTTTGACTCCTCCAAGCGTAATCTTAGGTACACAGGCATCAATTGCAGACATAACCGTGTCTTTGAGAAATGACCATGAATCAGCCACATTCATGTCCTTAATACAGTCCGAAATATTTGCCGCATCCACCGCTTCACTGAGTTTATCATAGTCGCCTTTCGCAAAGTTCAAACGTTTTGCCTTCGTTTGCGAGTTATACGGCTATACGCATCGGCTCCTGGTTAAACCGGCCGGTCAAAATGCCGGTCGTTGATATTTCTCCGTATAGCCGTATAACTCGCGAACGAAGGAAAAATAGAAAAAATGGTCACGCTGAGGGTCAACACCGTCGCTGAGGAATTAGGTATTTATATACTAAGTTTCGTTTAAATCTGTTCAGTGGTTGGAAGAAATTCTTTGATCGCTGTTAATTTCGGCCCGTATCGCCATATAACTCACGAATAAAGGAGAAATTTAAAGAATTTTATCGAGTTAAACGTCACCGCTAGGTCCCAATGAATACGTGTTCAAGTTTTATGCATTCATAATGCAAGCTGCATTCATTAGTTTGGGAGATATTCTTTGATAATTGAATTTGGAGATTGGCCGTGGGACCGGCCACGAGTCCGGCTGTAAATTTGTCCGAGGCGTCCTGGGGTTCTAGTGCTGAAATAGTTGAAACTGCTAAATATTATATTGGCTTACTAAATGGGGTTCTATTTGTGAAATACATATTTGTGTTTAACTTTTCTATTTCAAATTTGTAGCGTACTAATTATCAAGAAAAAGGTGTTTGTTTCCATATGTGTCTGTGGGTGGGCCCTAGAAATTCACTGGGGAGCCAAACTGGGCGCCAGCTTGAAAAAGTTTGGGAACCACTGAACTAAACTAACTGGTCTGTCTCAGTCTAGTGACTCTAGTCTGATGATCATACTGCTCAATAGGGGATGCATGCGAGAGGCCTGAGCTGAAGCATTGTTGGTTTCAAGTTCGTGTGGTGAGATGGGTCAATTGAGTACAGCTCCATATAAGGTGCCAGGATGACATTATCTATAGCATTTAGTAGGTTGATGTTGGCTCCAGGGATAATTTGAGAGTTAATTTGCTGTCTACGGCTGCGCACCCCTAAATAGACTGGAGAACTGTTTGTTACCCGAGCGTTGCGGAGTCGCAACTCGCGCCCGACATCGCCGTGCTCAAGCAGCAGGTGAGTAACGTGAGGCACTAAAGCAAAGGTGAGTCAGTGGGGTGCTCAAGCAGTAGGTGAGTCAGTGGGGCGCTCAAGAAGTAGGTGAGTCAGTGGGGCGCTCAAGCAGTAGGTGAGTCAGTGGGGCGCTCAAGCAGTAGGTGAGTCAGTGGGGCGCTCAAGCAGTAGGTGAGTCAGTGGGGCGCTCAATTAAGCAGTAGGTGAGTCATTGGGGCACTCAAGCAGTAGGTGAGTCAGTGCGGCGCTCAAGCAGTAGGTGAGTCAGTGAGGCGCTCAAGCAGTAGGTCTCATAAGTCTCCTGCTGGGTTGCCTGTCTTTTGAGGTTGGTGGTATCACTCGTATCAGCCTGATAAGGGGGAGGGGAAAGGGGTGGTCTGCCTAAAAATAGAATTATTGCGCTATCAGCATAGGTGTAAAATATTTCAAAAATAAAGTAAGTTCTGACCTTATTAATTGTGCGGCATATACTAACGTAAATTTTTGGGTGAAGTATAGAAATATTCTCGAAGTCATATATCGTAATATGGAACGCAGTTCGTTTCCACGGTTAGCATGTGCCTGTTAGCTCAGTGGTAGAGCGCTCGTCTTATTAATGAGAGGACGCAGGTTCGATCCCTGTACGGGCTAAATAGTGTTTTTTTCGTCATTCATATATTTGTTGGCTGTAAATTTGGCTGTAAGCAGAAAACTTTAACTATATCCACGTTGAATTTTTAAACTGATTAAATAGAAATGATGCATAAAGCATAAGCCATAACTTATACATTGTTAAATGTGACGTTTAGAAAGATATATCGCAGAACGTGCCTAGAATAATTACTGCGTAATCAAGCAGAAGGTGGGTTAGTGGGTCGCTCGAGCGGAAGATGGGTCAGTGGGTCGCTCGAGCGGGAGATGGGTCAGTGGGGCGCTCAAGCAGAAGGTGCGTCAGTGTGGCGCTCGAGCAGAAGGTGGGTCACTGAAGTCGCCTACCTTTTGAGGTCGGTGGGGAGGGGGGGGGTATCAGCCTGCTAAGGGGGAGCGGCAATCTAGCAGCGGGAGGGGTATGGGGTGTCAGCCAGTGAGCTGCCTTCTCGCCTTGTCTGTTTCTGGCGTCCGTTCCGCTGCCCGGCACAAATGAATGGAAACAAAGTGAATATGCGATCCGTGGCTGATGGCCGTTGTAAAGGCCTGACTCTGGATTGTCCTTTTTCAAAGCTCCGAATTCACTCGTCGTCTCGCACGGTCAAGCCACGCAACACAGCATTATAAGAAACTTGGATTTAAACAAGGTTCCGTGCGCAACGTCTCGTTCTTTTGTGTATCTTTGTTCATTGTACTGCCATTACTTGTTCCTCCATAAATAATGTATTGAGCTGCATGATCATATTCTTCAAGCTTAGTTTAAAACATTTGAATAAGTTTCATAAGTCCGTATATTGTCAACATGCGATTGAAATGCAGTTTTTAAATGGTGCTTATATTATCGTCGGTGCTGCGCCACATCCAAACCAAAAAATCGAGTAATACAATAAGTTTTTAAATGCGCTCGTCGTGGATGCCGCATGTCCGCGCACTTAAAATTAACCGCCGGCAACTGCTTTGAATTTACCGCGCATGCGCAGTAGCGCAAACGTGGGAGACGAGCCGGGAATATTCGTGCTAGGCATTTCAAGACAACATATGCTCCTGCATAGTTTCGTCTAGTCTGTTCTTGAAGGCGTTCATACTCGGAGCGTCAACGATGCTTTCAGGAATGCTGTTCCACATGTCGTTGACTCGAAGCGAGAAGAAATGTTGTCGCGTGGATGTCTTGCAACGCAGTTTCATGGTTTATAGCCGTGGCCCCCTGGCCCTGGTGTTGGTTCTTGTTTCAAATTCTACTAATCATCATTCTGGGACCATGTATAAGCCATGAGCATACTTCAATGAGGTCCCCACGCAGTCGTCGATAACAGAGGCTTGACAGCTTCATAATCTTTAACATTTCTTCATAAGGCTTACCTTTTATTCCCGGAATAATCCTTGTTGCACGTCTTTGAACACTCTCGACTACATTTTTGTCCTTTTCTAGTTTTGGTGACCACACGGCGTTTCCAAACTCTAGGTTAGGACGCAAGACAGCAACAAACAACTGCTTCATCGCTTATGCATCTATGTACTCGTATGAGCGCCTGATCAGTCCAAGTCGTTGATTGGCTTTATTAACTTTAGCTTCAACATGCTTAGAATCATCATTTGCTTTTGTCGACTTCGACATCATCACTCTGTCGTTGCAACCGTGCCTTCATATACTGTAATCTTTCTGTTCATTATTCTTGCCAAGGTGGATTACTTTACATTTGTCAGCATTAAAACGCAGCTGCCATGTATCAGCCCTTATCAGCGCATAAAAACCGAATTATTGCGCTATCACTATCAGTAGAAGTGTAAGATACTTAAAAATAGAGCAATTTCTGACGTAATTTAATGTACTTGAAATACTAACTTCAATTTTTGGATAAAGAACAGAAGTGAATCCAAGTCATATACCGTAACATCACAATCAGTTTGTTACAGCTTTTAGCATGTGCCTGTTAGCTCAGCGGCAGAGCGCTCGAATCGTATTCACGAGTGGTCGCAGGTTCGATCCCTGTACGGGCTAAATCAAACATTTTGTCACGTATACGTATATTGGCCAGCAGTACATTTGGTTGTAAAGTGGAAACTCGAACTATTTTTACGCCTAATTTCGCAACTGATTAAACCTCAGTGATGTTATAGACGTGAAATCTCGAATGATTATTTGATCAGCAAACTGCACAAGTCAAACTCAGTAGAAATGACATACGCTATGTAGCACGAAAATAAACGACAAAAGCTTCGTCTCTGCGTAACTTTACTATGCAAGACTTTACTTAAACACTGTGAAATGTGACGTTTAGAAAGATATCGCAGTGCGCGCCTGGAGGTATGACTGCATGCGGCATTCGACGTCGATCGATGCTCGTGACGTAAGTCTGAGATAGATGTAATCCCGATAAGCGTGTAAAATCCTCGATCGGTCTATGTCGCTACCCTTGCCAGTCGTTACCCTTGAGCGTGTAGTCTTTCTAATATGATATCCTATCCAGGCTTTTTTTCGGCATCGGTCAGCTTTCAAGTGGCCGAGGAATGGCCATCGGTCGGCTAAATCTAATTGCCTCTGCCGACCGCTGGTTGCACGGATTATTCCTCGCACCTCATCGAGTTCCCCTTCTCCGTACCACCCGTCGTAGACTGACAGGTGTAATTTACGACGTGTTTCCCCTCATTCCTCCCGCAACGCCTGCATTTGAACTGTTAGTATACGGGTGTTTCACTGCACATGAGAGTATGCTCGTAGATAACTAGTGTATGGTGAAAAATATCTACAAAATTGAGGCTGATTTGAATATGTATTTTATACCGAGCAATAGAGAATAAATAGTACTTCTTCCTTATGTCTCATAAGTTTTGATACGTCGCATATATAATGAACATCGATCTATAATATTTTCCTTTATCATAACTGATCATAACTTTTTGTTATTTTATATTGTAAATAAGAAAAAAATATAAATTGTAAATAAATGGCTGAATAAACAGGAAAATTGTTAGATTGATATTTATTTACGCGCGGAGTAATAATGAATCGAAGTAGTGATAGAATCCCAAAGGGCCAAAGCCGAGCCTGCCTGACGGCTCGCGGTTCTCATCCTGGGGCCGGATTATCAAAACTTCGCATCTTTTTATACGTACGCACAATGAAACACGTGTTGCGTAAGTACACCCTAATTTTGGCATTATCAAAACTTTCGTACGCAAGACTCATCTGTAAAGCTATCATCAAAATCATCTGGCTAACTGATCAATCAGAGGCTTTGAATTTGCTGTTCCGAACTCCTGTCGATTCTGTGCGCAAAGCGCGTGGAGAAAAGAAGGTTGTGTCGTGTCAGCGGCATCAGCGTAGACTGACTAGGGTAAAAATGGAGAAATGACTGAAACGTTATACAAATAGCAATGCACTTATTGTTGTGATCATCAATCAAAATTTCTTTAAATCAGGGCAAAGAATTGCACTATACCCATTCAAAATTAGAAGACTTTTTAGAGAGAACTAGAATTTAGAGAATGTTCAAGAGAACGACTGTCAAGAGAACGAAATATCTGTACGGAGCTAAAAAAATGGTTGGCTTGTCAAATTCCATATAATTTTGAATCTAAAAGGCATGAGAATATTATTTTAGTAAATGATCATAAAACTCTTGGTCATGAATATCAACATTCGCTTGCAAATTAATTCACAAGAGGAAAACAAATTAGCTTCTGGCATAAACTCAATTGAAATTTTTTCCTAAATGCACCGTTTAGCACGATCCCAAGAATTTATTATTCTTCAAATCAAAAGACAAAGATCAATTTTATCAGGCACTATACGAGTCAATTTCCAGGATTCCCAAAACCAGCGGTTCATATCTCCTTAGGAACTTCAACGCGAGAGTGAGAGCTGATCGTGAGTCATGGCCCACCTGCCTGGGGAGATTTGGTAGGAGGCGTCAACGCCTGCTCACAGAGAGAAAATTTCGAACCCTTAAGCGTTTCAGTAGGTGATGAGTGTTTCGAGCTTCGACACGCCTAAATTGGTGCGTCTAGCGTCGCGTGGTCAGTGCGCCGAATGCTCTCATAAGAGGTGGTTGTGTGGGTCGGCGCTCACGAATGCCACGAATCTACACTGCATACGGTTAATTGGCCCAACTCAATTTAGTTAGTTGTTTCAACTCACTGCTGTTCTTTAACGTCTATATTCTATATATTCAATATATTAGTCTATATTCAACTCTGCTTGTTAACGAGCGACGTCTATACCATTCAATCAAACAATAAGTTGATCATAGAATCAAAGATTATTCTGGTAGTACCGCACGCAACACTAAACAAACACTGCGACTCCATGTGACTTAAGTCTCCGTGGCTCAGTCGGCGTGCGCGCATGGTCGCGCGCACTCGACTATAGTCTTGGCAGAGGTTCGAATCTCGGCGGGCGAGTAATAGTTTATTCAACCAAAGTTCGATAGAAGTGACAGCAAAGAGTGTAGTTTCATGATGACAGTACATTCCGATACAAATTGCGTAATAAATATATGTATAAAAAAAATATGAGACTAATTCCGCTGTGAAGGAGAAAAGCGTTGAAAACAGATAGTGACGGAAAAATATAGTTTTCATACTTCTGGGAGGGAAGCAGCCATGGATTAGACTGGGATCGACCGGAGGAGTTGAATATGTTGGAATGATTTCATAATGCGCTGGAAACTGGCCAATGATATTGCAGAGATCCTGAAAAGATGGTCCCATTCTCCGTAGATTTTCTCGAAATCTCACATCAATCTCACTCGGAGAGGCCTTGAAACACTTAAGTGTCTCGAGACAGAGGTCAAATTTCTCTCAGGGCTGGAGCTCCTGTGTCGTCATGGCCTATGTGTGATCAACACATTCTTTAAATGCAAGGAAATCCACCAGGTGTCTTGGAGACACACGCGGTCTCACCTCTGGCATCAGCTTGACCTCGTTATCACCAGAAGAGCGGAGATTAGAAACGTCCTGCTAACCTGCAGCTATCAGAACGCGGACTGCGATACGGATCACGCCCTCGTGGCCAGCAGGGTGAGCATGGCATCAAGGAGACTTCATCACTCAAAAGGTATGGGACACCCTCGTATAGATACCAACTGCACCCACGACCCTGTGAAGACCCGGCAGTTCGTCAGCAGTCTGGAAGCTGCTCTTGGTGAAGATGCACCGAAGGGAGATGACATTGACTGCAAGTGGTCACGCCATCGCGGCGGCTAACGGTGCGACTGCGCCGTTAACGCTGAACAAAAAAACTAAGATTCAGTTTCAATTTGATTAATTACGGGTCATAGCTTCCGTAACCTTTTGTTCTGTGCCTTGCTGCTGGGTGACGTATGAAGTAGCTGCACCCTGAACATTTGATGACAAACTAATCTCACCCCTGCTACTTTACTTCACCTCTCTTTCAAGAATTTTCGGCTAATCGCTGCCTGACTCCACGACAGCAACTACCGGGGTGTCCATGTGACCCTTCCCCCCATAAAGGGGGGAAGGGAGGGGGCATTTTTTAAACGTATTTTTCATATTCGGCCGTGTCTGTCCCGAACGTTTCAGGTACCAAATACGCGCGCCCCACGATCGCCCCAAGCTCGACAGAAATTTCATAAGATTCTATTTTGGCGCTTATTTCGCTCCGGCAACCGGAACCTAAAGCGGACATAGAGCTTCTAATTTACACTGCCATAAGAACTTGGGGCGTCCGTGTGCCAGCGGCTGACAGGTCTTCGAATTTCGATAGGGTAGGTATCATTTCAATTTATATCGTGTCAACATTTTAGTTTAAAAGCTAATAGTCTAAACTTGAACTCAAAATTATTCATTTAAATTACACTTTCAAAATATAATTCACAGTTATTTCAAAAGCTTCTTATACAGTAATCGGAAACAGTTTTATTAAGCAGCAAAAAACTTTTATCTGGGCTAAAACAGTTATATGCGAGTAACTTATCAACGCAAATTTTAGCAAAGCATATAGCCGTACACTTTAGCCCATTGAAACTGTCGACCGGCGTTAGAGCGCACGGACCATTATCTGCCATACTTAGCGAGAAACCCGCTATATGGGCCCATGACCCGCGCAGTGGTCCCGTTGCCCTATGATAATATAAATCATTTTTTATGGTAAAAATTTCGTGTATTTTTCCTTGAGCTTGCGTTGCAAAATCCTGCGAATTAAAACGTGATGAAGAGAAGCTTGTATTTGATGTGGTGATAATTCTACCAATTATTTAGTTACCTTTTTCCACTAGAGAGCAGATTGAGATGCAATCGAATATGTCTGCATTGGCTCGAGAAAGTTGTTTACTTACAAATGAAAATACCAACAAAAGCGCGAATTTTATAGTCTTCTATAATTTGTCGCTCATCATGATGATATATGTGTTCAAGTTAGATTGTCCAATATTACTAGCACGTCTCAGTGTTCTCGCTAGTGATAAGGAAGTTAGTTGAAATTAATATTGCATTTGCATGAGTCGTGGAATGTGTCATCTAATCTCTTTATATCCTATCCTATCCAAAGAACAGGTGCGAATGGAGAAATATCTCATCTCAATTGACCCTTTGAATCATCTTATCCGTAAAACAGGCCGTACTGGGGCCGAGAAATTTTCCAGTTATTCGACACTCGAAAAAAACATCAACTGAGCTCCAATCTGAGATAGTTCAGCGCTGATATCTCTCACTACCTAGAAGCTCTGCAACATTCTCGCTTCGAATCACCGACATGTGGAACAGCCTCCCCGATGACATCGTTGGCGCTCCAAGTATGAACGCGTTCAAGAACAGACTAGATAAAGCTATGGAAAAATATATGTTCAGATTTGAAATGCCTAGCTCCTTATCGAACCCGGTGGAAGTCTAGTAGCTACTTCAAACTATCGCCAGTCATGAAAAGATCCGGTCAAATGACACGAGTTTAGATCTATGAACAAGGCACGAAAAGGAAAAGAATCGGCGACAGGCCACATCAGGCCTACATTTCAGCGCCGACATCATTATGTTATGTTATGTTATTAAGCGTTCACTGGTTCATAAAAAGGAAATCCACAATGAAAACTCTTATACAGGCATTCTATGGGACTTTCTTCGTTATAGCGTCTACACAAAGTTGGAAAGGTAACTCAATCTAATTCGCTTATTTGGCCCATTTAATCTCTCTTTGAATTACAGTACATATGCTTTAGATTGGTCTTATAAGCTTCGACATTTTTAATTATTTTAAACTAATTTACGGTTACAATTGACTTTCATTTTGGGGCAACATGCTCTTTTAATTTGTAATAATAATTGCCATATAATAATGTTAACAGAGGCTTTTTACAATTGCAGGAGGGGACGATTTCCGGTACCTAAAAGGCTTCGCGAACCTCGGCTTATCAGGCATTCATCACCAGTTCATGGAGTACACACCCAACCTGCGCCTTGCAGATGGATAACGCACAATCGAGAGCGCCTGTGCCACGGGGTTGTGAGAGCTCTTATTTCATTCGGGTTTAGCAAAGCATTCCAATGCGAGTCTAGACGCAATTTTGTAGCGCGTATGCGTACTATGTTTGAAGTCAATTCAATATAGAACGTTGAACTGAAACCGGCATGAAATCAGCTGAAAACAACAGGAAGTGAAATTTCTGAATTGAGTTTGGAAAAGAACTTTGGCCAAAAAATGATCTCTTATTTGAAATTATGCTCGTTTCTGATTTGAAAATCTGTATTACCTAAAAGAAAGATAAGAGCTCAATGACAAGGTAAACAACGAGTTATATAGTTCTAAGAAATTACGAAAGAGCCGTTTTCCTATGTTATGTGGCACAATTTTACGGGAATAACTGCTGCCATTGCGACGAATATACCTTTGCGCATGGGGGCTGTACGTGTACAACTTTAAATTGACGGTAACTTGATACCATACCATAGTTACCTACATTGCCAAGTTCTAACGCAGCAGGTAAAAATTACTGATTTGCCGGCAAGAGGGTTGATTGTCACAATAAGTTCACGCCGCGGTTGGATCTGTTCCATGGAGGGCCTGAGTGATGACGTGCGTTGCAACGATGCAGCTAATCCCGAATTGAGGCACAATTCCAAGATGGCGTTCGGTGTGTTTGTATTTCAGTTTGTTTGCTTCAGTTCATGTTATCATTCATTAATCTCGGAAAAGGCATTACTTATATATTCATTTCCTTAATTTGTTTATGGAGAAACAAATTTCTGGATAGAATCTTCTGATTATTCTTCGTGAAAAGAATTTAATGATATTTTCGACCGAACGGCGGAAAATATTGACGTTAGTCCTGGTTGTAGCCGCCGTTTTAGCATTTTAATTTTTCATATTCACTGTAATTTGCAGCAAGAGAATTAGCCTACCAGGCGCAGTTCATTTTACATGCGCCACAGCATTCATTATTAGATCTTAAAAGAGATGCCTGTTATATCCCGAGGAACTAAGCTTCTCGGTTCATGGACTTAGAATATAATAGAAGTGTCGGCACTGAAGAAATAGGCCCATATGGCCTGTTGCCGATTCTTGAATTTTTCGTGACTTGATTCACAAGGGATCCGGCCTTTGGAACCCGATCTTTCCATAACTGACGATTGATTGAGATAGCTGTTGGACTTATTGTCTGGTCGGTAATTTGCTAGGCATTTTAAGACTGAACATATGCTCCTGCACAGCTTCGTCTGTTCTTGAAGCCGTTCATACTCGGAGCGTCAACGATGCTATCAGGGAGGCTGTTCCACATGTCGGTGACTCGAAGCGAGAAGAAATGTTGTCGCATGGATGTGTTAAAGGTTCGGGCGCACGACAGCAACAGACAACTGCTTCATCGCTTCTGCATCTAGGAACTCGAAAGAGCGTCTGATCAGTCCAAGTCGTTGATTGGCTTTATTAACTTGACCTTCAATATGCTTAGAAAATTTAAACTCATTGTCGATATTAACTTTTTGTATTGACTAATTTGTTCATTATTTGGATCATTGATTATCTGATTCATATGTATAAAGTTCATGCATATATCGTACATTTTTCTTGTAGATTTTCTTATGTATTTTGTCATCTGTTTTTTTAGACTACGTTCGCCATGGAATTATATCTCTCAGTACGTCTCAGACTAGTGCAGTGTAAGTTCCCAAAGGACTGACTTACAAAAAACTCCTTTAGACTAGCATTATGTAATGTTTATAAAGCACCGAGTTCTCATCATTTCAATATTACAAACGACCCTGAGGAGCCAGCTGATACTGTGATAATTAAGCAAATTAATTTCATGCCTGACTAGTTGGCTTTAATTCGAGCCTTCAATGTACGTCTTCAAATAGCAGCATGCCCGGAGATATAAAAAAATTACATAAAATACATGTATTTTGTTCATGTATTCTCTCGAAAAATTAACAAAAATCATATTCACGACGATAAAACAAAAACAATTCAGTAAAACTGTTCAGTTAAAGCGAGTTGAGACGAATGAAATTATATACCGTGTTACCACCACACTATTACTGAAGCCCTCAAGGATGAGTCTCCAGCTAACTAGCCTAAATTGACAAGCCATTGGATTTGTCAGGACATTGAAATTATTTTCGAGGTAATTTTGAGTTTTAATTGTCTAATCGTAACCTCAATACCTTAATTAATGTTTGCATCTGTCATTCCAAAATTTAACGTTGCAAAACCTCCGCTCTGCTTGATACTGAATACATAATGTGTGTCCGAAACGACGTAAAATCATAATAAAATGTCCCTTTGAAACTTCATATTTGAATTTAAATCCCACCAAAAGTCTTGCTCGCCGAATGTAGAAAAACATTAGGAAAAGAATTTACAAGACGTGCTCTCTGTTCTTCAACGAAACTTGTATTAAAGATCATTACAAATAATGTACTGATTAATAAGTAATCATTGGAAATGAGGATCGCGAGCAAGTAAACACCATTAAACTTTATTATTAGAATGTGTTTTTTCCTGAGAAATATGAATGATAGAATACTAACAATAGTATTATAATAAATCATAATAATAGTATAATATAGTATTATAATATAATAGCATAGCCTCAGTGATGACCTGCTGCATAGCACACGAACTGCTTCACCAGCGTCAGGGTGTCCAGCGAGTTGAGGACGCGCTGCACGTTCTGCCCATAAAATATTATATTTAATGAACCTTCCTTTAATCCGCGCTATTTAATTTTTCCATGATACTGAAAAGTCCTTGAATCAATTTTCTCACGTGGATGATTTTGGCGTCGAAATGTTACCTCAACAAAATACAAGTTAAATATCGACTTGAAAATATAAATAACAATAATACAACCTATAATTGATACATTTGAGGCGTGTTTTATAAATACTCATTATGCCTACTTGACCCCTGCGACACCATGCATGCTCCTTACCATACGCTTTCTACTCGTCTGCTTGCTGAACAGGTCTAATTAAGGGCCTTTATATACGAAGAGAATTGATGACCAATGATTCATCGAGTGACAATAGCCTGCAAGCGTCTCTAATTGAGGCGCCTCACCTTGATGATGAGGGAGATAGAAGAGCGCCTTGACGGCAAGAGTGTCATCTTGATGATGGGGGAGTAAAAGAGCGCCTTGATGGCAGGTGCCTCACGCTGACGATGGGAGTAGAAGAGGGCCTTAATGGCAGGCGCCTCACCTCGAGGATGGCGGATTAGACGAGCGCCTTGATGGCCAGAGGCCACCTTGACGATGGAGGATTAGAAGAGCTCCTTGCTGGCAGGCGCCTCACCTTGACGATGGGGAGTAGAAGAGCGCCTTGATGGCAGGCACCTCACCTTAACGATGGGGGAATAGAGGAGCTCCTTGCTGGCAGGCGCCTCACCTTGACGATGGGGAGTAGAAGAGCGCCTTGATGGCAGGCACCTCACCTTAACGATGGGAGAATAGAGGAGCGCCTTGATGTCAGGCGCCTCACCTTGACGATGGGAGAGTAGAAGAGCGCCTCAAATGAGTCCCCAAATTTCGTCCGCATGCCGTCAATGACGCGTTGCGCAAAGTAGTCTGTCCTGCGTACCCCAGCGTTCGCGTGGTCAGGGTTGAACACAACTGCAACGCGAGACTTCAGTTTTTATTTTTTATTATATGCCTACTCAATACGTTACTGGCTTGACTTTAATGGTCAGGTTCGAACACAACTGCAACGCGAGCCTTCAGTTTTTATTTTTTATTATATGCCTCCTCAATACGTTACTGGCTTGACTTTAATGGTCAGGGTTGAACACAACTGCAACGCGAGACTTCAGTTTTTATTATTTATTATATGCCTCCTCAATACGTTACTGGCTTGACTTTAATGGTCAGGTTTGAACACAACTGCAACATGAGCCTTCAGTTGACCACTCAACAAATTACTGGCTTGATTATATTGATGAGCGGCGATTACAACCACAATTCTCCGAAGCATTGATTCATGCAAAGGGTTAACTATGTCCTAAGGAATTTTAGCCGATTCTTCAGTAAAGTCCTCTTTAATCCTTTTTCAGTTAAAACACAGTTTAACCTTTCTTCGTCCTTTTTTTACTCTCTCCAAACGTACACTCGGCCAAAGGTCAGATATAATATATAGGATAACTCATCAGAGAAAATCACATTTTTACACAGCTCGAGGGACTCAAGATATATCTGTTTCATCACTCAAACGCTTTGAAGCATTTGTATTGGGGATAGTGGTTTTCGAATTGCAGCTTTAACATAGAGTCCAAATTTTTGCAGCTCCCGACAAACAGTTTTCATGGAAACTGGCTTCTGTAGGTGTCGACAACAACAGTTGAATCGAAATTTGCTGGTACTCAAATTTGCCAAGTTGTACTTAAACGACACTGGAAATATTCCTTAAATTGTACTATTATGACAATTTGATGACTTTTACTATTATGACACTTTAAAGTAAAGTAATAGTAAAAGTCATAATAGTAAAAGTCATCAAAGTTTCATAATATTACAATTTGAGGAATGTTTCGAGTGTCGTTTCGTGCATCTTGATAAATTTTAGTATCATAAAAGTTCGATTCACTGTTGTTAGAATACTACTCTGCGTTTTTTGTTCAGCGCTAAATTCTCTTTCAGCAACTACTATCCTTTACTGACCAGGCCTGGCCGAGAACTCAGCGAGTTTGGGGCGCAAGTGCTGCCTGTGCAGAGTGAGCACCGCGCGGTGCTGCACCAGCCCCAGCTGCCACTTCCACTGCCACGTCCGGAACACCGCGCCGGGGACCCACAGCACGCGGTGTCTGAGGTGCGAGTTTGTTAGTAATATGTTTCAGTTATATGCACATTTGATTTAATAATTAAATAATGTGGAATTCCCTTAAAAGGGAATGCATGGTACCTGAAATCCTGATATTGAGGTAAGATAAGATCTTCCATATAGAGCAGCTGGTTTGGTTGGACAGTGCGTATGAAGTGAGGTAATTAAGTTTAATTTTAGCGAGGTACGATACACATAGGGTACTCGAAGTCTTACGCTGTGGAAATAGCGGGCTGAGTGTAACCGATCCAAATTTCGTCACTCAATGCTTCTTGTAACTTAATAATGAATGACTGATACATTCGAAACGTTGTTAACGAAATATAAATGTCCATCGGTATCTCGATTTCTGAATTACCAGAACAAACGAAAAAATATTGTTCGATATATTAAAAAAAGTTCGAAAAAAAAGTTCGATTAAAAATGACACGATTTCGATCTTCTGTGAACAAGGCTCGAAAAGGAAAAGAATCGGCGACAGGCCACATCAGTCCTATATACACTGCAGCGCCGAGATCACTATGTTATGTTATGTTATATTGAAAAAACTGATACGGAGACTGTCAATATAACAAATTATTTGGTCTTCATTGAACCCTGCTGTAAGAATACCAAAATGGATCATCGCTATTCTTTCAACTATGCTCCTGTAGTTATTTAACCATACCTGCCACAATCCGATGGACATTTACTGAGTACGTCGTTGGTGCGAGGGATGAGTTCTATATTAACTTAAGCACGCAACGTGTGTGCATATATATGGCCAGAGTTATGATTACTTTCAATAATTTTAGTTTATAATGAAATCTGAATTTTGAGCGAGCCAGGAAGCAGTCGCCGTAAAAATAGATATATTTCGTGACCTTCTACATATAATTTCATTGTGATAGGTAATTATAATCATTTACGCTACAACTAAACAATTGTTGAATGCGTCACCGGTTTGAGAGGAGGCATAGACAAAATGAATTACTGCCACGCTTTTTCGGACAGAAATATTACCTAGCGTTAAATTTATAGAATATATATTGACAATCATCAGTTTATGAGGCGTGCATCACCTGTTGAAGACGTCGCTGTGGAGCATCTGAGTAGTGATGGAGAAAAACTCGCCGTCAAAATCGAGCGCCAAATGCTGAACCTGCGTCACCTGCTTCAAGTTGTTGATGCTCATGCTGTGCAGCTGGTGATTGCAATTCAGATAAGTGAGTGCATTGCAGTCAATTACGGTTTCGTGGACTCATCTTAATAATTTGACAATATGATATGCGTAACGACCTCGCACATCACAAGACTTTTAGTCAAGTCCTATTCAATTCCTCATCAAAATTTCTCGAAGGTCCAAAAAATTATGAGGCAATCATATTTACTCTATAGCTGAAAAAATGACTAGCTTGGTCATATTAGATTATGACAAGATGGAGGTAACACTTATATTATGAAATCAAATGTCACGCTATTCAAGCGTCCATCTCTATAGGCCGCGTACTATCCTGCGTGGACGCTCTCTAGTGGCTGAACTAACGACTGACTGCCGCTCAATATTACTCACTTCTGCAATTTTCAGGTTAATATTAGTCACTTCTACTGCCGGCACCGATCAGTCGCAAACAAAATAAATTCGGTTTTTGATGCATTGAGCTAAAGCCGGTTCGAGCGCATCCAGTCTGAGACCTGCAGCGTCCATTCAGGCTGACATTCGATCCTGCAACGCTGCGGCGTCAGACGGTGCACAGCAGCTATAAATTTGGGTGTCGTCGGTGAACATATGCGGATGCAAACTATGTGAATCGATTATATGCAATACGTCGACAGTATATGACAGGAAGAGGATCGGGCCGAGAATAGATCCCTGTGGTACGCCGCAAGTGACCAACGATGGCGTAGAAGACTAGTTCCCGCGTCGAACGCATTGGAATCTATTGCTGAGATAGGACTCTAACCACAACAGCACTAGCTGTGCCGCGCTGGCCGAATGATACGTCAAGTCGACGCAATAAAGTGGCGTAGTCGACCGTGTCAAACGCGGCCGACAGGTCGAATAAAGCTAGTGCCGCATTTTCGCTACGGTCTACTGCGTCTGAATGTCTGAAAATGAGACGCATTCTGAGAATGTCTGAAAGCACCTTCAGCACGGGGGTTCCCGTCGAGTGAAGTTGACGGTATGCAGATTGGAGGCCTGAGACCGGACGGCTGAAGATGGTTGTTCAGCTTTCGCGCCACAACGTGTTCCAGGAGTTTCGAGACAATCGACAGGTTGGAGATGGGTCGATATGATTTGTGATCGGAAGCGTCAAGGTCAGGTTTTTTAATTGAGGCGTTATGTTAGCTGATTAGAAGCTCATCGGAACAACACCGTTAGTTAGGCAGCGGCTGAAAAGGTCTACTAGGAAAGATGCTAGGGTCACAACATGCACCTATAGTAACGACGTCGGCAGCATATCGCTGGCGCACTGCTTGTTAATTAAGCAGCACGCGCACTGCAGCGATAACGTCGTCAGCTGTGACGCAAGTGAAGTCTTGAAGCACGCAGTCGAACGGGCACGGGGCAAATGCTGCCGGCTGAGCATCGGCCGACGTTGCTCTCACAGCAGAAATTTTGTCGTCAAAAACCGTGTGGAGTTCCTCCAGGCATATGTCACTCGAAGCTTCTGTAAGAACTCTTCCCAAGAGTTTATCTAGCGAACGCCACAGCGCTCGAGGATCGCTGCGGTGCGCGTCGACTCTCTGGCGCCGATATGACTCTCTTTTAAAACGAAGAAGGTCGACATAATTGCGCCGCGCATCTCGCCAGGTGGAGGCTACAGCAGCGGCAGCAGCAGGATTGCGGAGTCTGTTCGCCCGGTAGACAGACCGCTGGAGCAATCGAATCCCGCACTTCGAGACTCGACGTTCATCAACGAACCATGGGTCGGAGACTCGTTGAGGTACCCGAGGCCCCGGACTGTGCGTGCAGGAATGAGGTCGTCGAGTACACAGGTCAGCTCGGTGTTGTAAAGTTGCACGCATTTGTTGACTGATGGTGACAACCATGAGTCAGGCGACATTCTTCGTAAGACTGCAGCTTTTCGCGTAAGTAAGGTTTATATTACTTACATCTGTAATTGCCAGGTTAATACTACTCACTTCTGCCTTGCTCAGGTTAATATTACTCTCTTCTGCCATGCTCGGGTTAATATTAGTCACTTCTACAGTGCCCAGGTTAATATTATTTACTGCCGCAATGCCACGTTAGTATTACTTACTGCCACAATTCCAGATTAATATTACTTACTACCACAATGCTAGGTTAAAATTACTTACTGCTATACAATACCCATGATGTTAAGGGAGATGTTATAGGCAGGTGGAAGAGGGTACTTTATACTCACTTCTGAAATGCCCATGGGATGTTGAGACTGATGACGGGCAGGTAGAGGGATGATAACTACTCTCTTCTGCAATGTCCATGACGTTCAGGGTGATGTTGGGCAGGTAGAGGGGATGATAACTCCTCACTTCTGCAATGTACAGGACGTTAAGGATGATGTTGGGCAGGTAGAGGGGATGATAACTACTCACTTCTGCAATGTCCAGGACGTTCAGGGTGATTTTGGGCAGGTAGAGGGGATGATAACTACTCTCTTCTGCAATGTCCAGGACGTTCAGGGTGATTTTGGGCAGGTAGAGGGGATGATAACTACTCACTTCTGCAATGTCCAGGACGTTCAGGGTGATTTTGGGCAGGTAGAGGGGATGATAACTACTCACTTCTGCAATGTCCAGGACGTTCAGGGTGATGTTGGGCAGGTAGAGGGGATGATAACTACTCACTTCTGCAATGTCCAGGACGTTTAGGGTGATGTTGGGCAGGTAGAGGGGATGGTATCTACTCACTTCTGCAATGTCCAGGACGTTGAGGGTGATGTTGGGCAGGTAGAGGGGGTCTCCAATCATCCACTCAATTTGGTAGCTCACGAATCGCACAAGAGCAGCCACTTGTTCTTCGGGGGAAGGCAGCTCCTCCGGAGTCAATAAATGATCGTCGAACGTCAGTAAATTTCCTCCTGTGGATAACTCATCCTGGGATAATGAATGATCATTATGAGACTGTAAATGATCATTGTCATACATCACAGTATGTGGAGAAATAGGTTCTGAAGGTTCAAGGGAAGGCGGGAGTGAAGAGGAAGGTATTGAGGAAGAGTCTGCTGTGCCATTGGGGGGTAGGAAGTTCGTTAGGCCCCTACGAATCTGGTGGTTCGCGAAGGCCAGAATTGTGGGCTTCGTCTGAAAACCAAGGAAATAAATATGTGATGATGACGCATTTTTATTATTGGTTAGACGAGCGTAAAATGTAACTAAAAAATCATCATTACATAAAATAAAATTTCCTCTTTTGATTACAAATTAGAATCAAATAAATTATCTCAACCTCCAATACCATCGTGGAAATTTTAAATAAACGTAGAAGCAATTGAATATCGACGCGAACGTTTCAAAGTTAGTCCCTGCAGATAGATATATATTTGTCTCTTATACACATCTAGATGTGTATAAGAGACAGGACATTTACTGAGTACGTCGTTGGTGCGAGGGATGAGTTCTATATTAACTTAAGCACGCAACGTGTGTGCATATATATGGCCAGAGTTATGATTACTTTCAATAATTTTAGTTTATAATGAAATCTGAATTTTGAGCGAGCCAGGAACCAGTCGCCGTAAAAATAGA